TCTGCCCACATGGGTTTGGAGTGGGAGGTTCGCTCCGAATATTTCTATACAATTTTCAAACCCTGCATTTTTCCATGCTAACACATCTCTGCTTGTCAGCACCTCATTGAGTACACACACACACACACTTCCCCCCACCATGTTATGTTCTCAAAGGGTGGAGTCCGCAAGTGTGAGCGAGGATGACCACTAGATGGCAGTATATGAAACACTCCCAATGTGCTCAGGTGAACCAAGTTTGAGGATTACCCAGAGCTGAGGTTCCCAGAGTTTAATCTGTAAAATTTTATACAAGAAAAAGAAAAGAGGAGCACTCTGTAGACTTGTCAAGTTTTTATTTTGCCAGGGAACGTCATTAAGATATAAATCAACTTCCACTGCTTCCCAAGAGAAACATTCTAACCATAAAGAAATAGGAAGGACAGAATCTCAAAATTAAGGATTGTCTTCTAAATCTAATAAATGTAGCTTTATGAAAAACTCACCTCACTCTCGGTTTGTTCTCATTTTGATGTGGACCTGTGAAAGAACGAGCATTTGGGAAATAAAACTAGAGGAAAATTGGCAACTCCAGAGTGAAACCACGATCCTTGGGTTTGTATTATCTTGTTTCCAGATTGAGGCTGAGACCTAAGGAGGGTTTCCATCCAGATGCACAAAGGGGAAGCAGCGATGGCCATTCCATCAACCTGGATTTGATAAAACTCACTAGGAGGCGTGGATCTAGATGGGCACTCAGGAGCATGGCACACGTGCTGGCTGCGTTGTTGTCGAGCCACCTGCCTTGTCATCTGGACTACTGACGTCTTCCCGTTGGTCGGGATCAAAACTGACCATTGCTAAGCCTCCCTGGCCTTCGGGATGGGCCCATCTCGCAGACCCCCTGCTGAGCCAGGCCTGCAGGGACTTCATGCTGGTCCCAGCCCTGCCCTCCACCTTGGTGTCCTGCTCTGCCTCGCCAAAGAATTCTGCAACAGAATACCAGGCATGTCTGCACGCCCCCGTCTGGAGCAGAGGCGGGGTGAGACACTCTGGTCTGTTAAAGAATGTGTTAGGGGCCTGCCATGGCAGAGTGGTTAAGTTCACGTGCTCCAATTTGGAGGCCCAGGGTTTCACTGGTTCGATCCTGGGCGTGGACATGGCACTGCTCATCAGGCCACGTTGAGGCTGCATCCCACATTCCACAACTAGAAGGACCCACAACTAAAAATACATACAACTGTATACTGGGGGGATTTGGGGAGAAAAAGCTGAGAGAAAGAGAAAAAAAGGAAGATTGGCAACAGTTGTTAGCTCGGGTGCCAATCTTTTAAAAAAAAAAAAGATGGGGCCGCCCCGTGGCCAAGGCTTAAGTTCGTGTGCTCTGCTTTGGGTGGCTGGGGGTTTTGCTGGTTTGGATCCTGGGTGCGGACATGGCACTGCTCACCGAGCCATTCTGGGGTGGCGTCCCACATGCCACAACTAGAGGGACCCACAACTAACAGTACACAACTATGTACCGGGGGGCTTTGGGGAAAAAGGAAAAATAAAATCTTAAAAAAATGTGTTAAATACTAGTACAGTGAGACCAATGATAGGCTTTCAAACAGAGAGACCCTTACTCAAATTCCAGGACTCGGGCAAATCATTTCACCTCTCTAATCCTCAGCCTCCTCATTCGAAGACTAGGATAATAATAACATATGCCTTTTACGGTCATTGTCAGATTAAATGAGGTAATCAATATTAAATGTATAATACACTGCTTACTGTGTGCGCAATATACATTAATCTTAATAATGTAATTCATTTTGGTGCAGGGTACTCCTTTCTAGAGGCAGGCAGGCTGGGTGACCCCAAAAGATGCCCCTCTTTGTGATGAGGATGCTCCACGTCATATTTTGGGAGAAATTAGCTCCCAGTAAATCACCACCTCTAAGTGTCTGATTTCCTTTTAACGACACGTACTCTGTAGCTGGTCACAACATGGAAAGCGACCGGGACGTTATGCAGGTTGAGGATGTGGTCCGGCAGCACAGTGCCGGAGCCCTGGAGCATCTCCTAGGATCCTGGCTGCCCTGCTTACTCAGAGGGATGGCAATTACTTGGTATTCAAAGGGTGGGGAGTTCCAGTTTAGCTTTTCCCTCCTTCACTATACCTAATTCAGTAGAAGGTCCCATAGTAGGTATCTCCCCAGCAAATCTACGCAGTTTCTGGTGAGGCTGGAGAGCACAGAGAAAACTCCAGATAGCTAAACACACCGAAACTGATACCACGACACTGGATGTGTGGGATGACTAACCCTAGCCTGGTTAGGAAACCCCTGGCTTGTCACGGACACGGACAGTCCCTGAAAGGCTGTGCTTGCACTGCCACCTAGTGGTTACAAAAAGCAAGACTCGGTCTGGGAAGGATTCTGGACCCCGCCAGCCAGACCCAGCTGTGCAGCTATCATCAAGAGCCAACATCTTCCTCACAGACATTTTATAAGAAAAATGTTTTATTCACAGCTTTTCAAGCTAATTCCCTAACTTAATTTAATTTCATCATCCCCCAAAAGCATTGAACGCCTGTGAGAGTCAAGGGAAGGCCCAGAGCACCAGCCTTGGTGCCCAAAGGCTCATCTGAGTCACTGGCTCATGTGCAACTTTGGGGAAGTGGCTGAAACCTTCCATTGTCTCTCAGAAAAATGGAAGTTAACAGTACCAGAGTTTAGGTGGCTGTGAGGTTTGAATGTGAAGCCCCTTGTAAACTCTAGGGTGTTCTCCCTGCTGACCTCCTCACCTGGATTCTGCCTCTCCAGCCCCATGCCCACACCCTCGCTGCAGTAAAACCAACCAGCCAACCTCCTCCTCTTCCCCAGGAAGGGGAAGACCCCCTCCCTTGGTAGTGCTGAAAATAGAAAACAAACAAAATCCCAGAGTGGGAAAGACCCGGTCCAGGATGTGCTCATGGGGAGAGTTAACAACAACAAAAAAGGCAAGGGAGACCCCTGCCGTTCACAGCCCCCCATTTACCAGGATAAAACTTCATTCAGAGGACAACACACACCCTGAGGTGGGTGGACAACAGACAGGACATACTGGAGTTTACACAGAGTGATGGCCCCCCAAGTGGAGACCAAGGGCTCTGCATGTCTTCCCTGGGCTCAGCCCTGGCCCTGGGAGTTCCCATGTGACCTGTGTGGAGGCCTCTTCAGAACAACTTCCCGCTCCGCTCAGCCCCTCTCTGATCTCTGAAATTCTCCCAGGACCCAGGATTCTACAAACCTGTCCAGGCTCCCCTAAGCTCAGTCCCCGGCCCCTCGTTCCCGTGGGGCTAGCTGTGGCTCACTGTGTGTCCTGTGTGCCCAGCTGACCTCTGGGGAAGAGGTCTCCAAACTCGTTTGATTGTGCACACCTATCTGTAAAATAATTTTAAGCACACACGTCATTGTGAACATTTATTTAAATATATGTATATATACACTACTAATCTATCATGTATATTATAGAACATTCACAAAAACAGATATCCTAGAAAGATGAGAAATTAATATATAATGTGTCACTGCGCCTGTGCCCTAGAGTGGGTGCAGCCCCTTTTGGGGACGAGAGGTCTAGGGTGGGCCTGGCCCCTTTCTCTGACTGTAAGAGCTGTAGTTTGGGCAGAGGGAGGTAATTGTATCTTGTGAGCTGGCATTAGATAAGAGAAGTTGGACATACAAGGCAGACCCTCTCCTGAAGTCCCCACATAAACAGAGACGAAGGGGACATCTGCTGGGAAAGGAGTCAAGCGCGAGGAGGACCCGCGATTCTCTTCACATGTGACACCTTCCTCAAGGCTGCATGTTGCTGGGATGTGGAAAGCTCTGCCACCCATATTTCAAACACCAGCAGGGCCACCCATGGTGGACAGGTTTCAGCAGAGCTTCCAGATTAAGACAGACTAGGAATAAGGACCTGGCCATCCACTTCTGAAGAAATGGACCATGAAAATCCCACAAAAAGCAGTGGAGCATGTCTGATAGAGCACCGGGAGGTGAGAGGATGGCGCAAAAAGACTGCGCAGGGATCTGCTCTGCTGTACACAGGGTCGCTGGGACTCGGAATCGACTCAACAGCACTAACAACAGCAAGGGTATCTCAGAAGGGGCGGCCACGCACGATGGAGAAGCCCTGACACAAAGGTCACTAACTTTCTGGCCCTGCGTGACAGGATCTTCTGATTGCCCTCAGAGGACTTGTCATAATTCGCTGAAGTAGAGATAAACAGCTCTCCAGCATCTGCTGGATGCATCTGCTGGTGAGAGCTGCACCAGCCAGGCCCTTGGTCTTGGCATCTTGCTCTGCCTTTCCAAAGAATTCTGCAACAGAATACGGGGGCCCATCTCTGTGTCCCCCTTCTGTGGCAGAGGCAGAGTGAGACGCTCTGCACTGTTATGAATGTGTTAAATGCTAATATAGCTAAACACCTGGATGCAAGCATTACTGGTTCACTTATATGCACTGTATCGTTTAGTCCCTAAAGCAGTCCTGAGAGACAGGTGAGCGCCCCAGTGCAGGAGGAAGCTGAGGCTAGGAGAGGTTAAGCAATGCCCTCAAAGCCGCATGTCTCATCAGGAATAGAGTCTGCCTAAGTCTAAGGTCCCAGACTAATCATACAAGTTCAAGTTCAGAATAGTCAGCTTTTGGTAGTCATATTTATATAAAATCAGTTAATGTTTATGGAGTGCTTAATCTTTATAAAAGCTTCACTGTTGCATTTGTTCCTCACAAAAGCACTATGAGTGGATTCTATTATTTAAAAAGGAAACTAAAGATTAGCGAGGTTAAGTAATTTGTCCAGAGTTGCCAGTTCTAGAAAGTTGTGAAATGTGATGTCTGACCTCAAAGCCAGAAACCGTAACCTTTACCTCCTTCTCCAGGTCGGTCCAGCTCTGCTCACTGGGACATGGGAAAGCAGGACTCAAACAGCAACATTCAGAGCCCGCTGAAAGTTTTCTCCCATACCTGAATATGGGCTGTGCGGGAGGGGTTTACACTCAGCAGAATTTGTTTGTCAGATTAGCAGCAGGCAGGGCAGAGCTGTGACTCGCCGCTCGGAGAGTACGTGAATCTCGGAACCTGTGTTTTCTTGCTGTGACATGGAAGGGCTGGACAAAATACACTCCAAGATCCCCCTTACCTCTAACTTCTATGGTTCTGTAAGATGGGAATTGGGGAAGGGAAAGGTCTGAGAACAAAGATATTCCCACCCTTTAACGCGGAGTCAACTCTGCCCCTTGCCTGGAGGACAGCCCCTCCCCACAGACTGTGTTCTCCAACTTTGAAGCACATGCTGTTAGTTCTTCTTTTTAATTTAACTAACACGTAAAAGGTCAATCCTTCATTTAATGGCCGAATTTCAGGGAAATACTCTTTATTTCTGGAGACTCCTTGGTTTCAGAGTGTGGAATGTTCCCTTGAATCAGTTGCCTTAAGAATATCCAGCGATGGTCTGCTGGCCTCGTCCTCTGTGGCTGGTGTTCTCCTCGTTCAGCAACAGTTAAACCAGAGTTTTATCCTACAGTGTGCCGAGTCCCTGAGACACAAAATTTCGTAGATGTATTGAAGGGACAGGTTCAAAATTCTTCCTGAGAGTTAATAATCTGTAAACATACTTCTAGCTATTTTTAAAAACTTACCAGGTGTTGTATATGCTCACAAGGGAATACTTCTAATACAAAAATCTAAGGCTGTTTATAAACTTCCCATGATAGTTTGCTTTCCCTAATCTATAGCACAGGGCAGTGAATTCTCACTCACCCCCTAGACCGTACCTGCCTGAAGGTCAGGGGCCACGTCTCATCCATCTTGTTTTTCTACAGCTTTGGTTCAGTGTTGTCCTTGTCTGTTGAATTGAAAGGATTTTTAGTAAGGAGGAGTTCAGAAGTTTGTTTAGTCTATCCATTGCTGGACAGCTGTAGTGGAACTTTATTCCCTAGCAGAGTGAAGACATATTTCCGTGTAACGTGTTCCTCATAGATGGGCAGAAGTTAGAGAAGCTCACTAAACCCCCGCTGATAGGCAGCAGGAGGAAAGAGCAAGAATACTGGGAGCCTCTGCAGGCAAAAAGTTTTGGAGATGAGTCTCTGCTCACTTTTTGGTATCTCAGCGGATGCCCACACCACACCAGCAACATGTGGTAGGAACTGGCCACGCGTGAACATGTAACTGGGCTTCCTTAGCCCAACCTCCTCTGGCAGTAGAGAAGGACTCTTCTTGCACTAACCTCCACCTTAAAAGTAAGGATTTGTCCTGTATTAGTCTTCAGGAGTTTGTGGATTTCCACGTGGCTGGATATAAGGGTCATCATTAGGTCCCATCTACACCCCCGTCTTCCCCACTAACCTACCATCACATGAGCTAGAGGTTCCCACATTTAGATTTTACTTTATACAGAGCGCTAGGGATGAAAGAGGCCTAAGAGCTCATTTGCCTGCTTTGTTCGAGACAGCAACCACTGGACACACGCAGCTATCTAAATTTAAACTAATTAAAATCAAATAAGAAATTTAAAAATTTGGTTCCTCAGTTGCTCTAGCCATATTTTAAGGGCTTAATGGCTGCACGTAGCTAGTGGCTACCATGTTTAAAGTGCAGAAGTAGAGCGTTTCCATCATCACAGAAATTTCTATCAGACAGTGCTGGTAGACAAAAGGACTGATTTTAAAAACAAAGAAGAGATTAAACGCTTCACCCAAGGTCCATGGTAGAACTATGAATGAAACCCAGTTTTGCATACTTGAAAGCGACTCCTCTCTTCACTACACTGGAGGTGCCATTTAAAAGCCCGGGGAGAGGTTTCTCAATAGCATGTTAATTCACAGCATCACAAGTAAAGATAGCACCGTCTAGTCCTCCCTGGAAGAAGCCAGGTTAGGCAGTGTGGACAGCCAGGTAGGATGCGTCATGGAGGTGAGATGAGGCTCCATCATGACTCAGGGTGAGGGTCAGACAAACCCAGAGGCAAGGCATATCATCCATGTCTGTATTCCCAGGGCCTGGACCACAGCTGGGACTCCATTGTGACAGAAGAAACGAGAGGAGCCAGGCATAGCACAAGTTGCTGGGTATCAAGCAAAAGGACAGTTAGGGAAGGCTGGAGAACTCTAACTAGGATCTGCAGTAAGAAGTAGGGTGTCCCTGTGCCAGCTTTTCACCCTGCCCTCTCTTGGCCCTCCAAATTTATGCTCTGCTTACTGGGATACATGACACCACTCTGGAGCTGTTAACCTTTGCCTTGGTTCATATCATGTGTGACTTGGTAATGAATTTCAACCCACTGTGAACACATAGACCAGGCCCAGGTTAAAAGTTTTGTTTTGAGTAGCTGTAGAGCTGAGCCATAGAAGGAGTGTAGGATAGGAACTCAGAAGACCTGAGTCTACTCTCCAGCACCCTTTGATCCTGGGTACCTCACTTAACATCAGTGCCCTCATCTGTGAAATGGGACAACAGTAATGATTCCTTGTTAGGATTGCTGAGGAGATCAAATGAGGTAATATTCAAGACAATTGTATACAAAGCAGAGAGCTCTGTACAGGTGTTCATTAGTTATTATCTCCATTATTGTTTCTAGTTATTATCTTCATTATTGTTTCCTCCTTTGGCATCTCTTTCATAGCAATTACAGTACTGAATTCTGGGTGGCTACCATTACCTTAGGTTTACAGGACGTATGTGTTTCTCCTCCAAGATTTATTGTGTTCAAACAATTGATGGATCTACCTAATATCTGCATTGGAAGATGATGTAGTCACAGCCTATGTGGTTTTGTGAGCCAGCAAAGAATAGTTTAATGGTTCAATTAGCTCCTTGAGGAGACACATGGTGCTTGAGATATGCCAAATAAGCAGCATGCAACCTCTGTGGGGAGAAAAGAAGTCAGCCGCCTGCTTGTGAAGACACAGCTTCCTGCGGAGCCAGATGTAGTTCGCATTTTCCTCTTGCTTTTTCCCAATAGCAGTGCTCAGGGGGGATAAACTTTACTTAACCTAATTAATTTTAATCACAGCTTTCAAATCTCATACTGTGAAAAGAATTACAAATTGGAATACATTAATAGAAGCCATAGTTTATGCTGTAAGCTAATCATGAAATGTGCATTTACATTTTCTACATGAATTTGCAATTACCATTAAAATAAAATTCCGTTATATCCTTTTAAATTACCAAAATGTGGAGAGCAGATTGTGCCAGGCTCATTTTTGTGCTAAATTACTAGAAGAATGTCTAAACTTCCAAGAATTAGACAGCTTCCTCCATTTGCGTTGCAGCAAGGAATGATTTCCAGTCATCTGCTCCAAGCGATTTCTGTTTTTAAATAATAATCTTTTAAACTAATTGTGCAAATGTCTCAACTGCTTTAACAAGTAGCCCTTTAAGTTTAATACAGAGGAGAAATTACATATATGTATATATACAAACACACATAATATATTTACATACAGGCATATATCTATATACATATAGGTGTATTTAGATCTATACATGTCATTTTGCTTTTAGGTTCCATGAAGACTTTTATTTTATGGATGTTTGTATGTAAGTAAATGCTACCTGATTCTTCAAAGGATCTGAGGCAGTTTAGAGGAAACACAGAGGGCATAGTAATAAGATTTTAGTAAATAATTCCCAAATTAGAATAGAATGGCAAGACATCTGCATAGTTATATCATGGCTTTTATGTGTGGGGCTGGGCAGTGTTTGACCTCCCTTCACACACTTCATCTTGCTTGGTCCTGAGGCAGGCAGCACAGGTGCCATGGGCTCCATTTTATAGGTGAGGAGACCGAGAGTGTCAGTGAGAGCAGAGTGGGTCTTTCAACTCCAGTCTGAGGCTCTTTCTATAGGAAGGCTCTTGGCATCTAGAAACACAATTTTGGAACTGTGATAGCCCAATGAGGAGGCACAAGTGGACATAAGCAGTGATGACTTGCAAACAGCATCCTGATCTCTGAATGTTAGTGATACAAAATGTTGTGGGGTGAACGCTCCTCCATAACACATTGTGAAGCTTCAGCTGGTTTGTTTGGTCACTGGCTGGACTCATTTAGATTTTGGTTTCCTGGAAATATTTAAAATCTAATTATGCTGACAAATGTTGCTAGTATACTGCTGGCTGGTTCTCTGGCAATGCATAGAAACAACACACCCCAAAACAACAACAATGATAATAGTAATAGCAGCAACCAATTATTGATCACTTCCCTTGTTTAAGATACCTTGTCATGTGATAGTCCTTCTCATTTAGTGCTCTGTCTTCTATTTTCTCAGGCAAATAGTCCATTTCTGCCAAAATTTCTATCCAAGATGGCTTTAAGATGCCCACAAACCAGTTTGCCTACCTCTGCACATGACAAGACTATGAGTGTCCTGTTGGACCCCTGGCTGGCTTACATGGAGACAGATCTCCTTCAGGATCAGGAGGGCCAGGCCTGTTTGTCCAAGGGTGGTCAGGTTTCAGATACCAGGTCTCCTTCAGATACCACCTTCTCTAGCCCTGCTTCCTCCTGGCCTAGGACTTCCTTCATTCATGGCTGACATCACTTGCTTTTGAATTCAGATATCGAGAGACCCTACCCTAGGGCACCTTAGGCCCAACCCAGAGCCCAGATCTCATCCATGGTTATAAAAGGCAGCACACAGCGTGTGGACCCTGAAAGACTTGGGCTTTCAGATCATGCAGACCTGGGTGTGAACTGTGGCTCCACTGTATGCCCGCTGGGAGGTCAGGGGATTCACTGAACTGCTCTGCACTTGCAGTTGCTCATAGTTAGCAGGCGTTTACAGTCTGCTTTGCCAAGGCTTTGGGTGAAAAGGAAATGTGACATTGTGTAAAGCATGAATATGGTCTCTAGGACTTCAGTGTTCAGTACCGACTCAGAGGCTTGCCTGTGCTCCTGCTTCCTTTTCTTGAGACTTTAGCATTTTTCTTAATGCCTGTCACAAGAGATATTTGGGCCTATTTACTGAGAAAGTGCCAGCCCCAAACCACCATTTTTCTACCTCCTTTCTCCCCACTTCCACCCTTCTAGGTCCATGGAGCCAGCAGCCCTCCTAGACCAGACAGCCTGGACTCCTGCTGCATGGGGCCCCATGTCCCGGGTACAGGGAGGATCCGAACATAGTCCTCTGGGTCTCTGCACTGTTGACTACTGAGTTGAGGGCAGTGGATCCCCTATGGTCTGTCTAGTGTGGCAGGCGATCAAGACTGGGACAACAAGGGCATAAGATCTCACTACTCAAAGTGTGCTCCATGGACCAGCAGCATTGGCACCACCTGGGAGCTTGTCAGAAATCCACAATCCTGGGCCGCTGAATCAGAATCTGCATCTTAACAAGATCTCCAGTGATTCATATGGACTTCAAGGCTTGGGGAGCCCTTGATTGGCCCCCGGAGGACAAGGGACCCCAAATCACCTCTACAGGAGAACTTGGGTTCTTCCTTCAGGGGTCAGTGTTGGTATCTGCAGAGCCTCCAACAGGTATGGGTTCAAAACATGTATTAAAGTCCCATTTATCTGTGTAGGAGTCAGCTTTTACTTCTTTCTAGGTTGTATAAAACAAACCTTTGAATCTCCTTCCTCACGACCCACACACAATATAGGATGCTGCCAGCTTGCTTCAAGTTAACCTGCTTGTCCCCATACCATTCAGTAAGGTCTCCCACACACCTACTCCAGCCCTTTCCTATTGTCAAAACATGATCACACACACACGGGCATACCCACATACAGAGATGCTCATGTATACGTATACAAGGACATGCATCACTCACACACACACACACACACACACACACCAGACGCCATGCTGATGTGGGCTTGGTGAGCTGAGGAGTTGAAAGAAAGATTTCTTGAACTCTCAAGTCTGGTAGTAGTGCTTTTTTATTCAGAGAATAGCATGGGGACAGGACCCATGGGCAGTGAAGAGCTGCAATGGGTTGAGGGTAGGGCTAAATTTATAAAGCAGAGGTATGTGAGTTACTTCTTTACAAGACAAAGGAAAGATCATGTAAAAAAGTTGTTAACATGGTATCAATGCAGGTGGGGTCTGGTTATCGAGTGGTCGTATAACTCTGGATATGAGTCAGGTTGGATCAGGTCAGGATATCCTATGTTTCCTGGAGGATGATATAAATCGGCATGTAGGCTGGGACGCCTTGGGCTTCTCTCCCTGGGGCAGCCTTGATCCACATCAATGCCATTTCCCACCCCCGGACCTGAGCTTATGTTGTCTCCTCTGACTGGCGTGTCCTTCATGCTCTCATTTGGCTAAATTGTAGTCATCCTTTAAATTTCATTTAAAGTGTCAGCTCAGCCAGGGCTGCCATTTTGCTCCCACAAAGCCCTATATAAAATGGCTGTGTGATGGTGTTTCTGTGGTCACCACATTGCATTATGATGTTCTGTTTATGGCTTGATGGTGTCCTGGAAACAGTGGACCCAGCAAGCGCAAGGACCGAGTCGTATTTATCCATCTTTGTCTCTCCAACACCCAGCACAATGTCAGGCACAGAGTAGATGTCCCGAAAATGCTTCTTGCATCAGTGAAGCAGAAAAAAGCTTAGCTTTTTCTGGTGGCTTGGCATTTTGTCCTTTGAAGTTTAATTAGAATGAAATAAAATTACTGTAGACTCAAAGTGTTTGGGGAAAATTCTTAAAACCTTGCAACCCAAGTGGAAAAAAAAAAGATCAAAGGGAAATTAGATGGCAATTTGTTTTAAAAAAGATTCTGCAGCGGCATTTTAATTAGAGAATATTCTTCTCATTGAAATTAGGAACTCCCAGGGAAATACTTGGTAAGTTGGAGCATCCCTCCTCGTGGTTTCCCACCAGCTATTGCAGGACCTGCTGAGCAGCCTTTGTGAGGGAAAGCTCCGAGGATGCAGCACGATGGGACAGGAGCACTTACACAGCACTGCAGTTCCAGCAATTAAGCCTCTCACCCTTCTCGCCCTGCGGGGGAGAAGGCCGAGGGAAGAGGCTCTGAGCATAAAGGACACGCTCGATTCCACACAACTGGACTGTCACACCGGGAATTCAGTTTTGGATCCTCCTCTCATGTCAAGCAGTGTTCTTCCCACCTCAGAATGTAATCCCTTTTGACAAACATTATACATCAAACCAAAAGGCTCTTCACGAGAAGTCAGTTTGGACTGGATCAGTGTTTCCTAGACTTTGGGAGGTCACAGATCAGTAAAATTGTTTAAGTTTAAAGAAGAATAAGTTCAGAATGGCCAGCTTTTTTTTTTGAGGACTTTAAAAAAATTTTTTTTATTTGTTTTTTTGAGGTAGATTAGCCCTGAGCTAACATCTGCTGCCAATCCTCCTCTTTTTGCTGAGGAAGACTGGCCCTGAGCTAATACCCGTGCCCATCTTCTTCTACTTTATACGTGGGATGCCTGCCACAGCATGGCCTGACAAGCAGTGTGTAGGTCCATACCCAGGATCCAAACTGGTGAACCCCGGGCCACCAAAGTGGAACATGCAAACTTAACCGCTGCACCACTTGGCAGGCCCCTAGAATGGCCAGCTTTTTATTTTGCTAATTAAGAATGCTAAGAAAATCTATGATGAGTATTATGTCATAAAAGAAAGTAAACGTTAATATTAAAATGAATGATCTGAGAATAAAGTCCAGCTTTTTAAAACTTGAATACTTTAGCTTTATGAAGAACTTACCACATTGTCATTATTTTTCTCATTTCACAGCAGGCCAGTGAAAACCAGTAATGTTCAGAGTGGCGTTTGGAAGACATAGGCTTTGC